GGCAGTATCAAATCTATCAGCAAGTTCAGACTGCCACCTTCAGAAAGCTGCATTATATGGAGGGACGTCAAAAAGGAAAAGACGTCTTTGTTGGGTAGCATGTGCAGCAAATATAGTTCTACTGTGAATAGTATTTTCCACTGAGAGACGGGGGAAATGAATTTTTAATGCATCTCCAAAGCCATCCCTCCCATCACTGCTCGTTCTGTTGGCCCTCTGTGATGGCAGAAACAGCCCCTTGCCCTTTGTTGACATCACTGATGCAAGCCCACTGGCCATCCACTGACTCCTTCCACAACGTCACCTGAGGGGGAGAGAGAGAGAAAGGCCACTGAGCCACATATCACTGAACTGGTTTCTGCCACTGTGCTGCAGTCATCCCATCAACCTCTGGGGATCAGATTTGTAACTGAGCAATAGTGGGAAAAGACATGGATGCCTTTCGACCACTGATAAAATTCAATACAAAGAGGTGACACTAACAAGCACATTTTATTAATATACAAGGTGTAAATGCAGGAAGGTAAGAATTCCCAGTGAAATCAAGAGAAAATTAGGAAATCAGGAAGATTCCTTGTAAAAGGGAAGCACACACCAGACAGGGAATGACTTCCACAAAATAGTAACTCAGTGTGAGTTTAAAAACAGAGGGACAGGACAATCGTGTAAAAACTAAGCTCCATTACATGTGTACCGGCCTCACTGAAGCTGAAAGAGTACAGAATGTAGGAGTGTTTACCAAATAAAAAATAATTACCATAATATTCTTTTGTCATTACACAGTTATTATGATTCCTATAAACTGCTGCTGTCTTCCATCTTTCCAGTAAAATTTGTTCACCAGAGTGATCAGCTCAAAATCTGTTGTCAAAGCACTGAAATCCCTGGATTTGCAAGGGCAAAATTCACATTGTTCTCAAAGAAGAGGGAAGGGGAAAGATTGGACACTACCAGTTACCCCCACAGGAGCTCCTCTCTGCTTGAACTGTCAAGCTTGAGTTTTATTTTTCTACACTCTACATCAGGTGGTGTCTATTTTTTCTCAAGGTCTACTCAAGGTCAAAATTCCAGCAAAAGAAACTGTGACACTACTTGCACCCCTTGTTCAACAAATACAAAATATTTCATGAGCAATCTGCCCCATTGCTTGTTTTTGTTTTTTATTTTAATGTGCTAATTAATTTCAACCACATATATGCTGTAAACAAACCACATGAAAAAAAGTTCTGATAGATGGCCAAATATTACCATTAAAAAACTTTGACACATAACTTTGATTATGTCAAACAAAATTCACTAAGGCATATATATATTTACTGATGGAAAAACATTAAACTATTTTTTGGCACATTAAATATTGGTTTTAGATTTTTAAGTAAAAGAATACTGAGTACACGATTACTCTCAACTTAGCTTCAGGATTTATCTTTACAATAACAAATACACTCCATGCATATGTAAAGTAAGCAAAAAATGTAATTCAGGGATAATTCATCAACGTTCCAATATTCAGCAAGGATAAAAAAAGTGATACAGGCCTTGCAAATACACAGAAAAATAGTAAATTTTAACAAGCTGCTGTAGCAACACATACCTTCAAATTTCAAATTTACCTTCAAAATTCGTAGATATCAAACAAATAAAACTAAAATACCGCACATTCTTTTCTTAGTGTAGTGAGGCATCCAAGGTTATAACTAAGAAGTTATAAAAATACAGGATCCAGAAGTTTAAAAAAAAATTAAGAATAAGTATTAGCACTTTGCATTTGCAAGAGGGATTTAGAAACATCTCCTTCATGGTTTTAAAGCTTAATCTGCTCAATTTCTTCAGGAAATCAGAAAGCACAAAAAAGACAGCAAGCTAACAAAGTTACTGATATATA